TCATTTACGGAGCAAGAGGTTATCTACGTGTGAAGAGATAACAAAAATGAAGTAATTTGATGTGTTTTAGTTAACTACGATCATATAAATCGGAAATAATGTAGAAGTTAAGACGGATAGTTTCAATGCTTTATTGAATAGAGAGCAAACGAACTGGTTAATGCCAATGGTTAAAGTCAGAATAGAACATTGGGATTTTTTGATAATAAAATGGAGCGAGTATCATTATAGGTATTTATACGTGGAACGTCCGTGTGAACTGGCAAGAAGAAAAGAAGTCCGTGATTAGTAAATTGATAACTTTGAGGCTTAAAAACCAAACAACGCTTATCATTTGTTAAATAATACTACTATCAAACTAATGAACTCGAGTAAGATAGTCTCATTTTAGTATATGCGATGCAAAGTGGGGGTTTGAGGAATCGCTTGATTTATACTATTATCCAGTCCGAGTGAAAGTATTTGGTAAAGTGATTCGAAGACCGATCCAACCAGAAGGAGATGGCGGATTTCTCTTGGTCAGCTCATCAGTCTCTACTTAGCCTAATGGATATTCTCCTATAATTACTCACTCCAACACTATCTAACAATTACCATATACCAATTGTCACAGCAATACTAGGAAAAGTAAGGGAAATCTCATTGCCCGAGCTCGAGAGCGGATAGCAAGGCGACTTTGAAGGAAAGAAAGAGCAAGAGAGAGTAGCTGTTAAAATACGCCTCATGAAGATGGGAACTAGAATGAATAGGCATTCAGAAAAGGTGTAATTCCAAATCCTCTACTCAAAATGAAAGCTGTAGGCTCTATATGATGCGAACGGAAGTGAAGCGATCAGAAGACGCTGTCTTAACCCGAACTCGTACCCCTCAGATATTGAGGCTAAATTGCCCGAAATATAGAGATTTTCTAAGTCTTTGATTAGTCATAGTTTTAATAAATAAACGGGTTCGGCCAAGCTCAATAAAACTACGAGATGGATTATGCATCCTGGAATCATGTTATCTTCTTTTCAAAGTATATTAGGTAAAAATCATATTTAATGTTTAAAAATATTTCAGGGTAAAAGGTTGCATAAAACTATTTTTCAAAAATTAAAATATGGGAAAAAATGAAGAAATTGATAAAGGATGAATTTTCATCAAGTAGGAAAAAGTATAAGCATTAAAATCCTCTGTAAATTTCGTAGAATTTAACTCTGTAAAATTAATTGATGATGCTAGTCGCATCAGAGTAGACTCGCAAGTAATGAAACTGAAATCTCTCAAAAATATGAAAGATTTTAGAAGGAGGATGATTCAAAAAATGAAGTAGACAAAATGAACTTGTAGATTTTATGAATTGACCAACTTCTTTTAATAGCGATGTGATCAAATCACTGAAGAAATGTAAGCCTAGTCATAAGATTCACAAATTAGCAATACTGAATTGCATTAAAAGGTTAACCACATGAGGCAAATCGACTCAACAAGTAGATAGATAAGATCAACTGACTAAGCCAGCATGGTCTTCGAAATTCTCCTTTCGTCTGCCAGCCAGCGTAGAAGGCGCCTCATGTGGTTGAATCTCCTTTAAGTTAGTGACAAATGGCACTGATGCAGAAGCCCCGACAGCCCTGCTGCTTTCGACGCTTTCCGAACTACATGAGATGCGGTAGAGCGCATTAGCCAAAGCCAAGGGACGTATAGCTAAAGAGGCATTTTCATCGTTGTTAAAGCCTCCATCGGGTCGGCTTGTACAATCATTGGCAGCACAGAAAAAATGAGAGATGGGGGCCCTGTCTTGTGCGAATACAGAATTCCCAAATTGACTTGACAAAGCAATGCTGGCAGTAGAGGTGGCGAAGGCAGCTCGGCCTGACCCAGTCGATCTGGGAATAACATCCACTTGCACGCGAGGAGAAAGGCGAGAATCTACTAGCACCTGCTCAGAACTAGGCATTAATTGGGGAGGTGACGGAGTAAAGAGCACTGGTACCTAAACAGAATACACAAACACACAAACACAGGCAAACGTGCATAAATATGAGCTTACATAGGTAATGAAAACAAAAGACATTTAAAGCATAATATTTGCAAAACAGAAGCACACCCTTCCAGCTAATAATACCAGTCGAGTATATATAATAATTTCCTACTCGTCTATCTGTAGTTACTATTTTCAAATCATTAGCGAATTCCTAAGAGACTGGAAAGTTAACTACAATAAGGATGCGGTAAACTTGAAAACCAAGTGCATTAGAATAGCTTTTGAAGGCAGCGCAAATGTAAGCTTCAGAGCGTTAAACTAAATCTTTTATCCAAATTCCAAATGATGTAAAGTGACTCCATTTTATCTTCACCTACAATTGTGTCAATACATATTTATCTAATATTGTAGTCGGCATCGTCAGTGAGAGGCGCATTCGTTAGCACAGCGTTATAACTTATCAAAGTGACAAGTCGACAACCCCAAAATCACAAGCCACTTTAAAATGTAACTGTGCTTACGATAGAGCACTCACTGACGATGCCGGCGAAACATCTAAAAATGTACCACATCAATGGTCCGATGCCGGAGACCACGAATACTATGGCAGAAGACACAGGACTAGGTACATTAGACAAGGTCTCCCTGTCGCTCCAATCAAGTTGCGAAAACGTGGTCAAACCAACACTATACAGCTAAAGGAGACTGTAATCAAACAGAAGGCCACACCATATTGGTCTTCATAGCCAAGATCCTAGAAAGTTCGTAAATTTATCCTGGGTGCCAAATTTGGTCCACAAATGCTTCCTCATTTTTTGTAAGTACTATTCGTCCTACAACCCAAATTTTAAACGCGACAAACGTTTCACCAAATAGTGTGCAACTCAATAACATGGATTGCGCCGATTTGGCTAAAATTGAGATTCGTAAATACATAAAGCGTTAATCAGCACTAAATTGATAGGCTTCATATCAGCATGATTGGTTTGATCAATAAAATACGACTTGAATAAATATCTAATGATAGTTTGTCAGATTTAGGCATATGGACTCCTTACATCTTCTGAAAGGTGAATAATATCTAGCCAGATATTTAAATATGAAAAGACCAGTCATAATACTTGAGTACAGACTGAGACCTAATGGAATAGTCCAATTTGCCCTAATTTGAATCCTAACAAGCTTGTAGTAAACGCTTTAAAAGAAAATTGCTTCTCCCTTCGCAAATATTCAACTGCGCTACTTCCACATATAAGGTGTTGACTTTACGCATTTAGAGACTGTGAATCCTATGCTTACATACATTCAAAAGAGATAATAAACACAAAGTAATCCGTTCATTACTGAGTCCCTTATACTGCGGTTCGCTAGACTGAAAGAAGGCTTAAAAGGACGATATTAGAGACTTCATAAATTATGGCTCAAGCTGAGAGAGACCATCGGCAGATTTGTTTTCATAATCACATAAAATCAAATTGTCATTGGTAGACACACTTAGTATAAACGTTATTAAAATATCATCATAGTCTAAAAAATGATCCATATAATAGACCAGAATTCTAGTCATAGCATACTGGCTTAGGCAAGACCAGGGACCGGGAGCTATCAGACTTACACTTGAAAGTCCAAACCCCGGCGAAAAACCTGGAGTAGTTGGTGGAAGTGGAAGTGGGGTGCCTAACGAACTAGAGCGGGATCCTGAATGTCCGGCATCAGTAAACGCAGGCAACGACGGCGTTTGTAGAGAGACGTCCGACTCTGGGCTGACGGAGTGAGACTTTGAAGGCGGTGGTAAATCAGGCGAAAAAGAGAGGCTAGTGGCCCGGGAAATCACAAATGATGGCGACTGGGGTGCTGATAAAGCAAGGGTTGTGGTCATCAATTGGTGTGGGCTAGTTGAACCAGCAGGCAGCCGACAGACCTCAGCTCGTCTGGTACGAGCCCAGGCGGTTGTGCAGGCGAAGCGATGAGAGCTAGGCTAGACAGTGAGAGGAAGTGATTCGAAAGACGGGATGCGGAATGAAAAGTAATACTGACTTAATAGCGAATACAACTTTTCTTCATCGACAATCCCACCACAAAATGTGAAATGGAGACATGCCTAGTTTTCCTTGAAATTCAAATCTGCCTTGTGACATAAGGGCACTCGTTGCAATGTGGAAGTGATTAACGTGTAGATACTATACTCTGCACTGTCATTATTCGAGTCCCACGGGAGTGTTAATAAGACCTAGGAGAGGTAGAAACTGCAGTCAACCCTGGATGAGAATACCCTTTTGGAGGCAAACCTATGTGAAATTTAGTGTAGACGTAGGTTTACTCATAGCATTGTGAGAAAATTCAACTACAAATCCTCTTATCTCCTTAAACGAAATAGGACGAATACACTAAATATATAAATGATCAACTGGTAGTCTCAAAAACGTACTTATAAATGAAAAAGAGGCAAAGAGGTTTGATAAATCAAGGTACTTCTTACCAATTCATCAAGATAATTTTAGTTTTTAGAGTCGTGGTAAATAAAGAGATGCCAGAATTAAGGGAGAAGAAAGTAGCTTGGCAACACACTTTATCCTCATTCGAAAGATACAAGTGTAAAGTGTGTGCTTTAAGGATGATTGGTCACCCCATTTAGATGGTGAGGATGCCTGGTCTTGCCAACTATTAAAAACGCTTGTTCTTTTCGGAAGTCAGTAAATTTGGTATATAGAAAATCTGGGTTTCGAACGAAATGAAAGGTACCTTAACATCAATCAGTAACTTTGACACACTTTGTAGCCGAGCATTTACTTAATGTTGCTTGCAATTAAGAAATATGATATCACTCACGGTATCACTTGTTATAATACGCTCTAAGTAGGTGTGGTTTCAATTACACATAAATCTACTGGCTAAACGACATTAGAGCCCAAATTAAATTTGATAGACTGTTTAGGAACGCCAGGCATTTGTGGTATCAGCATTAATCATTGGCTATGTTAAGCCGATTGCCAATCCCAAAAGGCACCTTTTATCCTTAGATCCTGCTGTTTTACTTTTTCGAGTTTATCGGGGAAAGTCACCTTTTGATTTAATTTTATCATATTTAGAGGAATTCGCCTTACCATAAAACGACATAATCTTACTGTATATTGTAAGGGCATAATTTATTACCACGACTTTTGGCTTCGAATATGGAATATGGTCCTTATTGGTGGCTTATATGTCGCATCTCATCGTTTTTTCTGACTTCAGATTAAACAATCGGGACGAATAGAATTACGTTTAAGATATTGAGGAGTATACACTTATTTAAGGTAGAGTAATGAGCATTAGGTCTAAGCTTCACTTTGAGTATTCTCGAATGCCTACAACCAGAACAAATTAGGCTCGTGTGAAGAGAGCTAGTCAGTGCTCAAATAGTGCCAAATATTTATATTTATATAGTAGCTAAAACTATAAGAAATGGGCTTAAACTTACTACTTCAAAAGTGGTGCATTTCTAAATGCTTATGCAACTATCAATGTATGCCATTTTACTACCGAAAGGTCAGTTCCAGTTTCAATGGCGTT